TTCCAAGAGTTGGGAGTACTTGGATGCCTCGCTTTGGAATCTGTCGGTTTCGAAATTCTTTGGACTTACGATAAGATAGCAGGCCGCGGGCGACTAGCTCGGGAAACACTTGTAATGAAGAAACAACAGAACGGTTTCGTCTTCATTAAAGCATTGCTGTTTATTTCTCAACGAAAATTCTCGTGCAACTGTCTCGTTCGCGTCGCTCCAGTAAATTTTAAATATCTTTATAAATTAATGTTTTATATACATTTATTTAAATAAATAAAATTATGTTTTATATATCTTAAATTAAGAAAAGAATACCATTGATATTAACTCAAATATAATAAATTACATAAAAAAGTAACACATTAATTTATATATTTATATAATATATGAGTTTAAGAACGTTTTTTTACGATAATTTCGCGAAGAAGACTGTTAACTTCTAATCGCTTTCGCAATATAATCATGATCAATTACTTGCCTCATATCGAAGAGAAAATAGTAGTCAACTCATCTGCCGGTAACGAACGAAAACGTCGCGGAAGCGTAAGGACTTCGTCAGGACTTTGCTCTCGTCTGTTCGAGTTCTTCCTCGATGGTCGCTCGAGCTCACTCGGGGCGACGAAGTTTAAATTGTTTTCAAAACAGCGGCTGTGCAAATTCCATTCGACAATTGCCAGGACGAATATTTGACGTCCGCTACATTTACATGAACAAAGTTACCTCATAATTTTAATCACTATCATTTTCACTATCATCTCAATCTAATAGCTACATATAATTTTAATATACAATCAAATTTTTCAATTGTATATTGAAAGACGTCAAAGTTTTGTTTTATTCTTCGTATATTCGAAGTCCCAATTGTGTGTTCGAGAAATATTTTTTATTTCTTCTCAAAAAATTATGGCAAAATATTGAGAAGTACAAATAAATTCGCGAAAATCTGACTGCGCGTACATTCCATATGGTGAACCAAAGTCGAAATATATTGGTATCACGGATTCTATTATACCTGATCAAAGACAAATATTTGAGAACAGATAATAGAGTTAAAAAATCGATAATTTACCTTATCACATCATTACACTGATTAAACAACTTTCAGTTCATATAATATAGTCGAATTTGTTGCTTGCCTTATCTCTCAGCTTTCATTTATTATATTTAATTAACTTTTAGTTAATTATAGCACAAGAGAGCCATAAAACTCTAAATGCCGTTGTGTAGAGGCAATCAATTTTCTGAATTGTCTGCAAAATCGCGCAGGGGACGACCATTCCAATTTTCAGAGTATCGAACGGGGCGGTTTTGGCGAACCGGCCGGATCCGATCTCGGCCACGTATACCCCCGAAATAATAATGATAACGACGAAATAAATACATCTCGGCACGTCTGGCCCCGCTATCAATACGATATCGCGGTACCGTATCCGGCAAAAATGCGGTTTCCATCGCGCCAGGTATACATATACATACACATCGCGGAAAAAATAAGCGACGAGATAAATCATTCGCGCGCGCGCGAGTAGATACAGAGCGCACGTCCGTCTCTTTCGCGGGGAAATTTACTACCCGATATTTTTCTTCCTCCGCGCGTAGAATTTACGTGTCACGTCTCTGACATATCAAGCCGTAGAAACGAGAATCTCAAGTCTTTGGCCGCGAAACAGATTTGGCTGGATCCTATTCTCGCGCTGGAAAGCATTCGTAGCTTATTCCGCGAAAGGAAAATATCGCGTTAATTTAATTTCCCATCCAATTAATTTGTATCGAGTAAGTTAAACCCGAAATTTGAGCGTGTATCATGCACACGAAATTATTATTCCAGCTATTGTATAATATGTCGAATTGAATCTAGATCGATTATATAAATTATTTTAATTGCTGAATTATATCTCCCTCAAGCTATCTCTCTGTATCTATCGATGTATAAAATGATCTTCGAAAGATTAGAGGGAGAGGCGGATGGTGTGTAGTTGGGTTAAGGATTTGGTAGATTGGCGTATCGAATTCAGCAGCGGGCGAATTTCGCAGAAAATTGGAAAAGTTACCTCTTTATTGAGTCGGTTCCGGCGCAGGGTGCTCTCTTTCTCCCTCTCTCTCTCTCTCTCTCTTTCTCTCTCTCTCTCCCTCTTTCCAGATCAGGATGCGGCAAAAATATTTTATTGGAAATAGGAAAACATTATGCCAGGGCAAAAAGGTTTCCGAAATGCGAGGCGATTCGTTCTCCCGCGATTTCGGATATAATGGCACTGCCGCGCGCGGATTGATCTCGTTTTATTTCTTGTTGCCGGACCACTTTTGCGGTATAGCTTATGCGACTACGTCCGGTCGGGAGGCCACGGATTGTAATACTTTATGTCGTTACGTCGCGACGCAGTGGACCGATAAAGAAATAACGTTGTAAAGGGGGAGAAAAGGGAGAGAGTGTAATCTCCTTTTTTACGTCTACGATCTTCCTGTTTACAGCTTGGGAGACGTTTGATATAAAATCCTGCCATTTTTATTTAGATACTTGGTTTTACGATACTGTATAAAAATAAGATTTATCTAAGTTATCTCATTCTCTTTCACGACTAACTGACATTCTGCCGTTTATTTTACAACCTCAATTTATATAAAAAATAAAAATCATACTGGACATACGGCGCACAAATGAATACGTACAAAGAATCTTGATAACTTGTCGAGAAGCTTGATCCAACATGGTGGCGAGTGACCTTACGAAACATCAGGCTCGATAAACTCGCAAGTTCGTAAAGTTCTAACGAGGTTCCACGGTGGTTCACCTCTCAAGGAGACCAGAGGAGTCTTCTCTTCCTCAGATCGCGTTAGAAACTATTGAAGTTCAGAAGAAGGACTCACCGCGAATTTGTGACGAATACTTAAAACGCTTTATTACCCTTATCAATTATGCCTCCTCCTTTTCTTCCTTTTTAATAGAGGCTCATTGAAAGTTTGACCCGTTGCATTTGTGAGAAGATAATTAAGCCAGGTTTGCCTAATTTCATCAAATATGAATATCGTTGAGTGAAAAAATATTTATTCTTGTTATCTGTTTTAAATAATAATAAAATAAATTTT